CACTGATTTTGAAGCCTGGGCTTCTTGCTCGGTGATCGCAAATACTCTTCCCTTCATCTAAGGTTTTGAGTTATCTCTCCCTGCTTTGGAAGCTGTTTCATCTGTAAGCTAGGACATTGTTTAATCTGGTGCCCCAATTTTTTACACTTAAAACAGGCTCCGGTATTCCAATAACAAGGGCTGGATCTATGGTTTTTCCCACATTTTTTATATGGTTCTATTGGGCTTTGAAGTGGCAACGGCCTTGGCTTCTTGTTTGCCCTTTCAAACTGTTGTCGATTAGATGGTGTGGGTCTAACCTGACTTTTCTTATTTTTCATCTTTTAGTAATTTTCAAAATCTTTTTCAACAATTTGGGCTCGATCCACTATTTCAGCATAAGTTCTCAAATTTAAGACTGATATTCTGCTTCTAATAGCTGGTTTGAGACCCCTTTCAAATTTCTTCACCTTTCTTGCCTCATTGTTAACCATATGTGGTGCAAACCTAGCCAATTCAGTAAACTTGGCCTCGTACTGTGCTACTGTCGATTTTCCTTGGATTAATTCCAGAAATTCCATTTCTTTTTTGTCTCGAATAAAATCTTGAAAATACTTTTCATTAAATGCCTCTATAAATATTTTCCAAGTCAAGGGTTAATTTTCTTTGACCAATACTCATTTTGCCATTCGCCACCAATGTTGTGTTTCACCTTCGGACATAAAAACTGCCAAGGCCACCTTCCTATCATCAGGACATTTCCATTACCTCGAATATTTTCTCCAATTGCATAATCCATCCATCGGCTTCCAGTGGGTTTACAGCACCCTTAAAAGAAGGAGGGTTCAATTTCTTAAATTATTCAATATTACTCTCACCATTTCCCGTAACTGACTGTCTGGGTGGATTGTTGTTTTCCATTTGATGTTGCATTAGAGCAACCATATTTTCCAAGGCTTTGTGAATTCCTTCCATATTAGCTTCAGCTATTCTGGATCTTGAATTCGTCCTGGTCTGTATACGCAATAAATATGATTTTAAGTACATTCTATTTAAATTTCCTATGAATATTAAACCTATTGATCTGATACCATATTTGTCACACCCTAAAAATTTACAATACTGTTATTCCTGAGATGTGACAGTCAAAACATATATACATCTCTTGATAGAACAAATTTACAGTGGCGAATTCTTACAAAGCAACAAAAGAAAGCTTAGGCACAACTACAATATCTTCCACAGTTGATCCTGACGAGCACTCAAAATGAAACCGCAGTTATCCTGAAAAATGTTTACCATAATTTGATGAGTTTGGCTACTCAGTAAGTGATCATCATAATCCTAAAAATAATCATGATTGAAAGATAATCAATATTTTCAAAAAGGAGATCTATTAACATAAATGCATTAACAGTTTCACTTTATAAAAGTATAATTCGAATAATTGAAATGCGTATAATATTTTAACGGCAATCATAATTCAAAGGATTTCACAAATTACCCTACTGACATCCCAAGTAGGTCACCTATATACCCCATCAGCGTCCTGATAGGTCCACTTAATCCCTATCGGCGTCTCATATAAGTCCACTTAATCCCTGCAGGTCCATTTATACCTCACCGGCATACCGGATGAGTCCACTTAATCCCTACCGGTATCCCAGATAGGTCCACCTATACCTCACCGGCGAACCGGATGAGTCCACTTGCATATTTAAAGTATTTCTAAATCTCTTTAAACATTCGAAAGCAGCAATATCATGTACTCAACATATCACTGAAATTATTAATATGAATTTCACTGAAACCATTAATAACAGTCACTTTCAATAACATTTCTAAAATAACCAGTCAAATATTTTGGGCTCAAATGAAGAAAGGTAGCAGTTCATAAAGACATTCTAGCATAATTTCCAATCTAATATGGATAGAAAAACTCTTATAGAAATTCACGAATATAGAATTATCACAATTTATGGGATGTCAATTCGCAAATGAACAATTTCACAGACAATGCTATAATCAAATGCAAAAATATCAGTTTTCAACTAATAAGGCAGTCATTTGCACATGAAATTTACAATGTCTAAATATTAAAAAACAGTCGAAAGAAATCTCACAATTTTACTAAAAGCAGAAATATCACATTTATTTTTAATAATTTTACAGTATCTAAAATTTTCTAACAATGGACAAGAAAAATAAATAAATTTATTTCTAAGAATTTACAGTGTTTAAAATATTTTGCAATAGATAAAATGTCACCATTTTTACTAAAAAGATTATTCTTCGAAATAATGAGGTCGCTTGTGCATAAAATTTATTGCGCCTAAAATTCATGATAATAAGCAGAAGTAATTATTTTATTTTATTTTTAAAAAGAATGGATTATTTTTTGAGACAATGAGGCCACTTACCTAAAATATTTGAGAGGGAGCTTCCGACAAAAATTCGGCTAGAGAGAGAAAGAGCTCACTGCGTTTCGACTAGAGAGAGAGAGATCTCAAAATTTTCTAGGGTGGGAGTCCTCACCTCTTCTATTTAAATTCTTAAAACACCTTATTATATTATTTTATTAAGTTACACCTCATACATGAGGTGTAACAATTATATTACTCCTTAAATGTTAAAACCCATGTCAACTAAAGGACGTGGTAAAGGTAAGGAAAAGCTTAAACCAAAAGATTTTGAAAATAGTGATGGTCTTTAAGGACCATCATGCTCATGTGGACCATCTCTTATTAAAAGTTTCTTTTCTCTCTTCCTTTTTTTTTTTTTCTTTTCTTTTTTTTTGAAATTTGAGGATTATTACATCACCAAACTTGGATAACCCAAAGAGCTCCCGTCAAAATTTAGCTTAAAACCCCCACTCTTTGGTGCAACCCAAATACACCTGCATCTCATATTTACTCTACCCATCAAAAACAGAGTTGGCAAATTCAACAAAACATCAGGTTGTGAAATCCCCCAACCCTCCTTACTAACCGAGAACCACGACCAAATAAACAATTTGACTTTAGTGAGCAATCTATCGAAAGATAGACTCTCTCCCTCAAAAGTTCGCTTATTTCTTTGTTTCCAAAGCTCCCCTAACGTTGACCCTCTCACTATTTGCCTAACCAAAATACCCACAGAAGGTAAGTGATTAAAGGCTAACTATAACACTACACCCAACAGAGATGGGGCAGTGAAGCATGAACAAGAAGTAAACAAAATAACTAATACCAAATTCTAGAGGCAACATGGCCTTGGATGAAGAGATGATCTCCAGTTTCCTCATCCACTTTGCACATCAAACAAATGTTAGGTAAAACTTTACGCTTCTTAATCAAATTATCCACCGTCAAAGTTTTATTTTGGATAGCTAACCATAAAACATATGCAACTTTTGGGGAACAGGTCATTTCCACACCTTGGCTGCAACAGGTAAAGACCATCTCCTTATATCGTGGAAAAAGAGCCTATAAAAAGACTTAACCGAAAAAATCCCATCACATTCGATTTCCCAAATCACTTTATCCATAACCTCTTGGGAACTATAAACTGAATCCAAGATACCCATTAAATCTTTCTATTGAAGATAAGTATCTTCACTCAGTCTATTATACGGGAAATTAAATATTCCAAGCAACCTGATTACCACGCACCTCAAATATATCATAAACCTTAGCATTAGGTTGCGAAACGTTATCAAAAAGTTCCGGATAAATAAGCTTTAGAGGGCCATCACCTATCCACTTATGATGCCAAAAAGATATGTTGTGACTACAACCAACATTCCAGCTAAAGTAACTGGCAATCATTGGTTTGCACTTGTAAATAGACTTCCACAGAGAAAACATCTCGCTAATACTACCCCCTCCTAACCACATACCATGCCTATCCAGGCCATATTTCGAGGATAAGACCTGAAACCAAAGCTGATTTGTATAATGAAAACTTGCTCACCACCATTTACAAAGCAATGCCTCGTTCATATATTTAACTTTCTAATGCCAAGACCACCTTCACACTTAGGGGTTCAAATACGATCCCACCTAAGTAAATGATAATTCTGTTCTTCCCCAAAAGTCCCCCACATAAAAGTACACATTATTCTTTCAATTTTATTTACGACTAAGGCTAGCATTTGAATAAGAGACATCAAGTAGATTGGTAAATTCGTTAAACAAAAGCTTAGCAAAGTAACCCTACCATCTATAGACAGATATTTCAGCTTCCAAAGATCCAACTTCACCTGGATTCTAACACCTTATCCCAAACCGCAATAGAATGCCAAGAAACTGATAATGGCATACCCAAGTAAAAAAAGGGGAAGGAACCCACCAAACATCCCAAAAGATTTACCAAATATTGAATCAAAGCCAAATGACAGTTAATGCCTATCAAAGAAGTCTTATGGAAATTAACCTTCAGTCCCAACACCACTTCACAGTATTCTAAAAAAATGTGCAATGCTTTTTACTTGCATCTCATATGCTTCACAAAACAAAAGTGCATCTGCATATTGCAAATGAGAGACTTGAGAGCCCATCTCAGCCACCATAAAACCAGAGAAACTACCACTACCTTCCACTTTTTGGATCATCAGACTAAAGCACTCTACATAGATGGAAAAAAGAGAATGGTGGCATGGGATCCCCTTAGCGAAGACCCCTTGAAGCCTTAAAGAAACCAATGGGACTTCCTTTAAAAAATGCTGAGAAATGGGCCAAGGATCAGCATCCAAATATCCAACTCCTCCATTTTTTCCCAAATCCCTTATTCTTTATAATTTTCAAAAGTACTCCCTATTCAACTCTGTCATATGCTTTTTTCAAATTAAATTTGATAATGACTTTAAGAACTTAACTTCTCACTCTATAATAAATACACTCTTGAGCCACCAAAATACTATCAATGACTTGACGATTCTGAATGAAAGCAGATTCATTGTTAGAGATAAAGAAAGGTAAAAGTAACTTCAATCTTTCAACTAAGACTTTTGCCACAATCTTATAAAGACTGATGGGCTAATATTAGATAACTCTACAATCACTTATTTTAATAAGAGCTATATAAGTGGCATTAACCCCTATTAATATTTCACCTCTCGTCATAAAAGCTCTAACCATCTCTAATAATTCAACCTTAATCAAGTTCCAAAATCTATGGAAGAAAGAAAGGGGAAAACCATATGGGCATGGAGCCTTATCATCAGGTAAAGCAAAAACAGCCCCCTTAAGTTCTTCCATAGAAATATCACACTCCAACTTAGAGCTCATCTCTGCTGACAAAACTTTAAAAGGCACACTGGCCAATTTTGGAGTGAACTTCACCTCCGATAAAAAAGCCTTCTTAAAGTGGTCAATAATAGCCCCTTCTATTGCAACACTATCCTCTGTCTCAACACCAGGAATAGTTAAACTATAAATGTCGTTTTGCTTTCTTCTCACACTCGCAATGGAGTGGAAGAACTTAGTATTCTGATCACCCTCATTTAACCATTTTATCATTGATCTTTGCTTCCAATATAACTCCTCGGCTCTATGAAGATCAAAAAGAGATTTCAACTTCGAACTTCTTACACCCAACAACTCCTTGGTCAACACACCTGCATATTGAATGTGCTAGTCCAAAGCTTCAATTTCACATAAGACATCATCGATTTTGGACTGAACATTGTAATTATTCTCTTGTTCTAATCGATAAGCTTATGATTAATGTTAACCAGCTTTTTGTACAATTGAAAATCCAAGGAACCAATAGAAATAGTATTCTGCCAGGTGGTTTTAATGACATCTACCACTGTTTGCTCATCTAGCCACCCAATATCTAGCCTAAAAGGCTTCGGCCCACCTCTCTCCATGCTAGTATATAACAAAATGGGGATATAATCAGAAAACAGGCATGGAAAGAGACAAGAGGAAAGACATCCACCCAATTTGCAGATACCAAAAATCTATCGAATTTAGACATTGAGAGACTAATGGAACTATTATTCGGCCAAGTAAATTTAGTCCCAACAATCGGTAGATCTAAAAAAGAATTACTTTTTATAAATCTATTAAACAGTCTCATCGATGAATTAATAGAATAACCTGCAGAACATTTATCTAGTCACTTTATAATATTAAAATCCCCCCCATGCACAAATGAAATTGAAATTGTCAAATCACACCATCTATATCATTAACAAAACCTTCCTTAAGAGTTGAGTCATTAGGACCATAAAAAATTATAATTCCTCAAGAAAAGCCCAAACAATGACCATAAAAGCCAGTAAGTATAGAGAGAGAAAATCTTAAGAGGAAGTGCACTTGATGAAAACTATAAAAAAAAAAAAAAAAAAAATTGAAGAGAGCCCATAATTTCTCACCATAAAAACTCACATAGCAATGGAGAGAGGCCCTTCGAATGCCCCCTAAAGGACCGCTTACTTCCAATGGTTTGAAATACGATTGTTATTTCTATCGTGCCGAAAGATATTATACTCTTGAGGGAGTAGAATGTCCATTAACTTCCTCCCCACTAAGGATTAATAATGGTGATCCTTTGAGGTCCTACTCACATGAGTGTGGGAGGGTCTCATAGTACTATTACTCAATTTTAGGACCCCAAAATTTAGGATTGTAACTTCTTCAACATATAGATTGACCTCAAGGAAAAAATCTTAATCGTATCCTCTATGTACTTCAAAACAATAATGTCTCAAAATTGAGTAGAGAAAGTCTAATTTTTAGATCTCAATAATGTCTCAAAATTTAATAGAGAAAATCTAATTTTTAGATGCTAATATCTAAGTGTTAGATTACTCAAATTTCAAATTTTATTTTTTTTGAGAATAAACATTTAGTAAATCTTAAGTGGTTTTCAAATTTTCAAATTAAAAAAAGGAAAAATTACATAAATATATGTTTTAGTTTATGTTATTACCAAAATACTGAATACTTTTTGTTATTACTAATATGTCTATTTTTTGACTTCATAACAATTTTTTTTAAAAAAGGCGAAACTACTCATTTTCGGTTTTTAGGCTAATTTCAGTTTTTGAATAACCGAAATTTTTTTCTCTCTTGTAGGTCTATTCTCTCTCTACCCCTCTCTCTACATTATATTAAATAGGTAAAAATAGTTTTTTTTTTTTTTTTAAACTCTCTCTCCCCCTTCACCATCATCTTTTTTTAGTAAGTTTCACCAAGCTTATTGAAAGAGGAATTTGGCCTGGTCTGGATATTCCCATAGCTCAAAGAGGTTGAATTAACAAAAGATCTCTTCTTAAAGGTAAGGCATCATGGGCTGGTCATTAGCTTTCCATTATCGTCTGACGTAGGGGCTCAAACTAGTTGTTCCCCTGATTTTATCAGATAACTATGATTTCATAGAGGTAGAGAGATAATACTCTACAAGAGAGAGAAAACACCACAAGCAAGGTTGAGAGAATACGCCACAAGATTTCTTCTAATCTCATAATTCCTAAGATTTCTCCTAAATTTTGGGGCTTAAACTAGTTGTTCCCCTTGATTTTATCTATTACCATGACGTAAGAGAGGTAGAGAGAGAATACACCACAAGATTTTTCCTAATCTTCTAATCTCATAATCCCTTAGATTTCTCCTAAATTGAGGGGCTCAAACTAGTTGTTCCCCTCTGATTTTATCGGATAACTATGACTTTAGAGAGGTAGAGATAATAGGCCACCAGAGAGAAAATATTTTGAAGAACTAAAAATTTTAAATTTTCACTTTTTCAAAAACAGAAATTGGTCAGATTTCAGTTTTTGAAAAACCGAAAATGGGTACTTTCGTAGTTTTTTTAAAAAAATTGTTATGAAGTCTAAAAAACGGACACATCAGTAATAATAAAAAGTAATTAGTATTTTGATAATAACAAAAATTAAAAGGGATATTTACGTGATTTTCCCTAAAAAAGTCTCCCAAGTCTTCCGACCGAGAGAGTAGAGGTAGACTATGCTCCCGAGGGTGCATAATATACGTACCTTTCTATCATTACCCATTTTCAAGTTAACTTATCAACAAAACCCAGGCTAGATGTCCAAGGCATGATATTCTTCTGTTATTTCTTTTCCAAAACATAGGGGATTTTTACGTAGAACCCCTTCACAATGACCGTTTCTTAAACCTTGCTGATGGGTGCCATTGTCTTGAATCTTGATATTCTGGCCGTTATAACAACGTTAGGACGTTTCTTGGTTGTTGAACCCTTGAGTAACATCAATAAAACTGACCAAAATGACATTGCCTCAGAAATTCAAATCTGACACTCGTGTGATATTGGAAATTTGACTACCAATTTATTATTAAACTAATATCGAGGGAGGGTCGGTGTGACGTGGCGGCGTAGGTCCGGTTCAAGTGACACATCGTCCATCCAATGGTGAGGGCTCCAGCGCGGCCACGTGAGGTTAAGTGTAATGACGTGGCAAGCAGGAAGCCGCGCGTTTCTTGAGTGGCCAACCGATGACCACCACGTGGCCTTGCCTTCGCCTCTTCTTTCCTGCCTACCAATGGGGAGATGAACCTACGATCCACGCCTTTGTCTGAAATGACAAAGGCACCCTAAACACCCCACTGGCCTTTAATTTTTTTTTTTTTTTTAGTATTGATTATTGCCCCTCTTAGTCTATTTCTTAAAAGGAAAAATATTGTGTGCGCCATACGCCAATGGTTGATTTTTTTTTATATATATATAATACCGATATTGCCCCTCAGTTTATTTCTAAAAAGGAAAAGTATAGCGTGGACGCCAATGGTTGAGAGCAATGGTTTAAAAACCGGATCGGTGACCCGGATCGGGCTTTTCAAAAACCGATCCGGATCGGCGAATCGGCAATCCGGATCGGCGAATCGGCGGTCCGGATCGAAATCGGGTGAATCGGTCAGAATAAAGCTTCAAAAAAATCCGAAAAAATTATTAAAATTCATTATAAATATTGTTTTTTAGGAATTCAATAAAAAATGAGGGTACTCCATTAAGAATTTTCATGTTTTTGGATGAATATGCGAATAATGATATGTTCTTTCCCTACATGAACCGTC